CCCATGTCTTCCCTCCATCCTAACCTCTGCCCCATCTGACTTGGCCTGTGTGTGGCTCCCTGCCAGCTCCCTGGGCCACGTCTCTGTCCCCGCCTGCCTCGGTGACGGTGCCTATGTCACGGGCAGCCTGTGTCCTTCCTGTGTCTCTGTGGCTTGCAGCTTTCTCGGGCCTGGTGCTCCTGTCCCCTGACGTGGCCCTGGGCTTCTTCAGCCCCTCCCAGACGCACCCCGGCCTGGGTGGTTGAAAACCAGCTCCCCACTTCCTGCCTCTTCCGGTGGGCTCTTTGTGGTCCCTTTGGACCTCACTACATACCTTCTCTGCCTGGCCCTGTACCAGAATGTATGAGATTTGCTGTGTGCAGTGTTTTTCAAGCATCAGCTCCCATGTGCTAATGAAAAGAAACTTCAGAATTGACCTTAACATGCGTGCTTTATTCTGCCAGAGAAATGTATCTGTCACTGAGTTGGTGGAACTCAAGGCACATTCAAGAGAAATGACATTTCCTTTAACTGAGAATGAGTTCCCTTTTCTTGTTTCCTGTCTTTCCCTTTCCTTTACTCCTCCCCTTCCTTTCTTTCTTTCTTTCTTTCTTTCTTTCTTTCTTTCTTTCTTTCTTTCATTCATCCCAAAGGCTTCACATTAAACTACATCCTCAGTCCTCTGTTTTCTTTTCTGAGACAGGGTCTTGCTAATTCACTGAGTTGCCCAGGCTGGGCTCAAAGTTGTGATCCTCCTGCCTCAGCCTCCCAGAGTGCTAGGATTATGATTGTGTGCACTTGTCTGAGGGTAATTTTCAGTGGTTGGCCAGAAGCAAGGCAAGGCTTTGGAGAGGCAGCACACCCTAAACTGAGCAGTGTCTGCTTTCCAGAGCTCCTGGACCCTGGACATGGGCTCTGCCTTGGGATTTGTGACTCCCACCTATGGGATGAATGAAAGCGGGCTGCGCTCGCAGAACTGGGAAGGGCATGTGTTTCACACATTTCCAAATTTCAGGTGCAGGACTTGGTGGGTCCGACTTCAGTGTGAACTCAGCGCTGAACTCAGAACATTAAAAAAAAATAATAAAGGACACTGAGATTTTTGCCTGAGGTTTGTGTTTGCTTGAGACACCATCCTGGCTGCGTTTCAGAACCCCCTGCAACTGCGAATTGGCTCCAAATGTGATCCTAACAACAGGAATCCTTTGCAGGCAGGCAGGGTGGCACAGCCCTGTAATACCGGCACTGTGGGAGGCTGAGGCAGGAGGAGGTTCACAAGTTTGAACCCAGCGTGGGTGACTTTGTCAGGTAGCAAGACCCTGTCTCAAAATAAAAATAGAAAGGGCCACAGTTGTAGTTCAGTACAGAAGCCTGGGTCTTGTCACTGGTACTGCAAAATAAGTAAAATAAAATCCTTTGGATACCGGGCGTGGTGGCGCATACCTGTACTCTCAGCCCTTGGAGGGCTAAAGCAGGAGGATAGCCACAAGTTCAAGGCCACCCTGGGCTCCATAGTGAGAACTTGTCCCAAATAATAATAGTAATAATAATAATAACAATAATAATAGCCCTTTGGTTGCTCGCATACTGGCAGTTTGCATGATTTGACTTTTATATTCAAATCTCTGCTGGACTGGCATATGTGCAACGCTTGGTTACAAGGTAACCACTTCTGTGATGGTAAACACCAGGGAGACCAGATACAACGTTTCTTGGTAAATGTGAAATTATTATCCCTGAAAACTTCTGTTTTTCAAAGAGAAAAGCACTGAGGGGAACATTTTCTAAGGGGAGGCAGCAGCCTCTCTGGAGAAAGGAGGAGGGGTTGATCATGCTGGCTTAGTAGGAGGAGCGAATTCCTAGGCGTCTGCAGGGCAGGGTGGAGTGTGGTTGAGGGGTACACACGTTATTTTTCTTTGCAGTGAAATGATTGCCACAGATAGTTAGAGTTTGGGCAGCCCCGCTCCAGGAAATGATGTAAATGTGGAGAAAAAGAAAATGCTTTATGTGCATATGCTTCTCTTGATGTTTTTGTGATTTTTTTTTTTTTTTGTAAATAATAGCCCCAAATTGAATACGTCTAACTGTGGTTAAGAAAATATCATGCTCTTAATTAGATAAGATGTCTGGGAAGATGTTTATCGTCTATGACTGAGTGAAAATAATTGTGAGGCAAGATTGCATGTGCGAAGTGGTTTGCACACATGGAAAATATGCTGAGGGAAAGAATCTGAGCTCGCAAGGATTGTAACTTTTTTCTGACTTCGATATTTTTTACTGTGGTTTTATAGTTGGTCCTGTGCGTCTGTGGATTCGTCCAACCGTAGATGGAAATTATTAGGGGCCTGGAGGAAGATTTAGAATTTTTCAGGGCAGGGAAGGGTCTGGACCATGTACTGATTTTTCTCTTGCTATTCAGCTATATCATGACAACTATTTATGTAGCATTGGCATTGTATTAGGTATTATAAATAACAGAGAGGTGATTAAAAGCATGTAGACAATATTCATCAGTTGTATGCAAATATAAGATATTATACAATAATATTAATAACTCTATAGAAGGGATTTGAGTGCCTGTGGATTTTGATACCCAGGCAGCCTGAACGCATCCTGTCTTGATAGTGATTGAGGAATCTATTTCTCATATCAGAGTAAAACATGCCATTTTAGTTTTTTTAAATATCTGGTGTAAATTGTGACCTCTCGCTACATACAAACTGTTCCATAAGCTGCAAACGTGCGCTCAGTCCCTTAGCCCTGTGCTTTACGGGTGTGCTTGGCTGTAGTGGCCTGAAGCGAGACGCAGAATGAGGAAGAACCTGTCCAAGGCCTTAAGGACAGGAGCCTGCTTATCAGCACTGCTGCAGAGAGCTGTGCAAAGCTTCACGAGATGGGCCCTGGGAACCGGAGGAGCAGGAGCCGCCCCAAACATTCAGATGCCATCTCCACACTCTCCCTTGGCTGACTGAGATTGCTCTGCTGCTGGGCAGGTTGCACAAGCCTGGGATCCCAGCACTGGGCAAGCCAAGGCAGAGGCATCCCTGCAAGTTTGAGACCCACCTGGGTTACATAGAAAGATCCTGTGTGACCAGTACCCTCCCCACCCTCCACCAAAGATTGATCCTCTTGTCTACAAACATGGAAAGAACAAAGGGCTAGAAAACAGCTCTGCCGTTGAGAATGCACTTAGCATATGTGGAGACACTGGGTCAGTCCCCAGCTCTGCAAAACAGACAGACAGACAAAGGAAAGAATTAAGCCCAATCTAAGCTGTTAATAATATGCCACGGCTTTTCTGCTCAAGGTAGAACAGTCTCAGTGAAATAAGCAATGCCCCGTGTCTTTCTTTCACTGCTCTTCTGTTCTGGTGGCTGTTTTGTGGTTCACAGTGAAGACATCTGTGCTTCGAGCTGTGTGCTTTGCACTGCTAGACATTCAGACGTTTTCCTTCGGTCTGCCTGACCCTGGTTTCTGTTGTGAAGCGAGAGCACGCTTTGAAGGAATTGTGTGTCTGGGGCGACTTCTGTCTGTCTATACCTTTAAGGAGTGTTGAGTTCATGATGCTCTGAGAGGGGAGTGTGTGGGGCTGACGCGGTGGGTTCTGGCAGTCAGGTCTGCAGTCAGGTCTGCAGGCCCGTGAGGTCTGCAGGCCCATGAGCCCTTCCGGATCCCAGGGTGCCGCGTCAGTGTCTGCAGTGGTTTTGGCTCAGATACTTTGATATATCATCAGGGTGCGTTCATAGTTGGGGTTTTTATGTCTTCTTGGAGAACTGACTCCTTTATTATTATATATCTCTCTGGCACTTGCTGAGTTTTTTTGCTCAGGACTGGCTGTTTGTTTTCCAGTGCTGGGGATTGAATCCAGGTCCTCTGCACTGAGCTACATCCCAGCCTTTTTGAATTTTTAAATTTGAGGCAGGGTCTCCCTCAGTTGCTAAATTTTTCAGGCAGGGGTTGAATTTGCAATCCTCCTGCGTCAGCCTCTCTGAGTGCTGGGGTTATCACAGATGTGTGCCACCATGGCAGGATGAGTCTACTTTCAGAGAGCAATTAGGGACAGGGTGAGATACTCTCCACAGATGATAGATAGACAGACAGACTGACAGACGGACAGGGCAAGGAATGCAGCTCAGTGCAGAGATCATATGTTCAGTCCTTAGTACCAATTCCTCCCTCTCATGCCTCAGACACCCACAGCTTGTGCCTGTGACCCGGATTGCATTGTTTTCCTGATTCTGGAGTGCAAGGTTTGTCCTTGGCACGTGGCTTTCTAATGGGCTTAGGAAGGCCCTGGGTTTGGAGTGTCAGCCTTTGGTTGTGAGGCTGGGAGCCGTGAGGGCTCTCGGCTGCAGGCACTTTGGTTCTGAGCTCCCGTGGCTTTGGGTCCACTTGCCCTGTCTGCCACCATCTGCGTGAATCCCCATTCAGCTTGGAGCCAGGTGCCAGGCTTTCCCTTTCTTCTAAATGACACTTGCTACTCATGCATATGTTGGGCATTTGAAACGTTTTATTGTCTGGTTGACATTCTGCTTTTCTGTTTGTTTATTTGCTGGTCCTGAGGACTGGACCTAGAGCCTTCACAGGGAGCTGCCCCTGGCCCCCCTTCCTTTTTAAAATTTTTGTGAGAAGTGCCTCACTAAGTTGCCCAGGCTGGACTCAAACTTGTGATCCTCCTGCTTCAGCCTGCCAGAGTGCTAGGATGACAGGTGCACACCACTAAACATGCTGACTGTTTTCCCTCATAAATAAGAATTAATTATCTGGGTACTTCTTTGCAGGACTCCTTCCTCCTCTGTCATATGCAGGACATGACAGCACCCAGGCACCCAAATATGTCTGAAAAAGAATCAATGACTTTGATGAAATTTTTCCCAAGAAATGTTACTTGCTCTTTAGTTTTTTTTTTTTTTTTTTTAAACTGTGATTGAATTTAGGGGCTTTCCATTGTGGGAGCTATGTCCAAAACCCTTTACTATGTTATGTTTTATAAATTTTGAGTTAGGCTGGGCTGGAACTAGCAATCCTCTTGTCTCTCAGCCTAGCAGAGTGTTGGGATTATAGGTTGGGATTATAGGTCAGGCAACATTATGTTGGGCTAAAAACAGTTAACCTTAGGGTATATGAATTTTAGCGTGAGGAAAAAAATGCACACAATAAACTAAAATTTCTAACTTCTTTTCCTTCTCCTTCTCCTCTTTCTCCTTCCTCCTTCTCCTCCTTTTTTTTTCAGACAGGATCTCACTGTGTAATTCAGGCTGGTCCTGAATGCTCTATGTAGCCCAGGCTGACCTCGAACTCACAGTGATCCCCTCCTGTCTCAGTCTACTGAGTGCTGGGATTACAGGCGTGCACCACTGCACCCCACTAAACATTTTAACAACATAAACTCCTGCACAGGCCTTCGGCCCCCTGAGCTTACTGCGGCCACTATTCTATGGAAGGTACTTGAATATTTTTTTTTTTGGCCTTTATCAGCAACCATAAATCTACCTTGTTGTTTTTCCCATTAAATAGTCAAAGGAATTGCTTCCTAAGTTCTTTAAAGTGGGTACCGTTTATCTCACTGCTCTAAATAAACTGTTATTTTCTGAGGTAGTGCCTCTGTTACAGTGCACTTCTGAGTTTGTCCCAGATTTGGTGTCATGGCAGCTGGTGACCCAGGACTCACCATCATTTGCGTGCATGATTTCTTCAGATGAGGAACGAGGGCAGAGTTAGCGAAGACCTTTCATCACAAGAATGTAAGGGGAAAAAATCTAAGTAATTGATAACCAATGAGCCAGTGCCTGTGCTCCAGAGCTGGGATTTGACAAATGATCTCCAGTGCCAAAGAGTGAGCTTTACTTTCCCCCAGAGGAGGCAAACGTGGAGTAACTGCATGCAGAGCATCTCGCCGGGGTGACTGCAGCCCTGTGTTTCCCAGCACACAGGACGGGCAGTATCGCCGCGTGCAAACAGAGAGGTGCTTTATTGCTCCAGACAAGCCCTCCATTCATGTCCACGCCAAGCCCCTCACACAGGCAGAGGCCTCTGTTCACGGCGCCGTATGCGCTGGGCGGCACAGAGCTGTTCTGTCCGCTGAAATACTAATTTGCAAACTCAGCAGTCACTGAAAAACAGCCCTGGCTTCCTCCAGAGATGGAGAGACCTGCAGAGAGGCAGAGGGATTCCTTTGGCTTCCTGCTGTCTGCTTGCCAGCAAGCATTGAGCCCGCCTTCTGAGCAGTGGTGTGGGCAGCAGTGCCAGGCAGGTGTCACAGGAGCTGAGATGCCACTCCCTGAGCACAAGTGCAGGTCTGAGAGGAGGAGCTGGGAGGTCTACACTGAGCCAATACCTGTTGGATGCACAGGAAGGGGCCTTTTGTGGGATGCTGGTTCAGAATTTGATGTGTGATACTCAGGATATTCGATCCGTCATGAGAGAAAAGAACAGTGTTTCTCTCTCACTCTGGGAGATCATGGGCAGCGTGTGCTATATCAGAGCCCTCTAGCCACTGAAACTAAATGCAGAGTGGGGGAAAAGTCCAAATGGGAATAAAAGGAGGGGTAAACATCCCTTTTAGTCCAAAGTAATTAGTGGGTTTTTTCTTTTCTTTTCCTCTTTGAGTTCTCCTGGAGAAATTCTGTGTGTTCAGTTATGCCCACAAATGCATTCCTAGAAATTGCTTTTGCTCATGCCATTTCTTTCTGGATGTAAATCACACACGTCTTTTTACATGGCCTCATGTGGGACCGGCTTCTTCTCTGCCGCATGGTTTAATACGTGGTTCGTCTCTATCCGTGTCCATTTGATTCATGGCTCTGCAGTTTTGCCCTTGCAAAGCTTCCAGACCTTACTGTCCCTGTCCTCCTCTAAGTCATGTGCAAACTCCAGGCCTCCTCTGCAGGTGCTCTAGAGCTTCCTGCTGGTGCCTCCTGCAGCCTCCGTGCCTCTGTGCACCGGGTCCTCCTAAAGCTGTGACCACCAGTTTTTCCTGGGTCTCCTCAATCTAGTTGGCCACCTGCATCTATCTCGCTCCTCCTTGCCGTATTAAATCCACGGGTTTGAACATCTTTGCCCCAGCATCCTGCTCCTCAAGCCCCATTCCCTGTTCTTGAAACTGACTTTTTATTCCAGAGCTTTAAAAATATTCCTGCCCCTTGGAGACCTTGGGTCCTTGTCCCTGCCCTGTCTACCTCAGAGCTCTTCTTTCTGTAATGTTGTACTTTTTCCTCCATCATTATCTGGAGCAAACCCAGCTTTTACTAAATCCAGGTCCCCCTTCCTGGAAAGCTGTACCTAAGCTGTAGCTAAGTAGGACTAAAAGTGACACCCAGCCTGACTCCTGGACATTGCATTGGTGGCCTGAGGTCTTGAGGTCCTGTTGTGTCCCCTGGGTTACCAGAAGATGCTTTCCAGGTTGCCTCCTGTCCTGCTGGCCACCACACATGCCCTTTGCTGCATCTGGGTGTCCTGCTGTTGGACAGACCAAGGCTCTGTAGACCACTGCTATCCTTTGCCTGTGATGCCCATGCTCAGGTGAGCTCCAGACATAGCCATGTAGATGCTGATGGGCCCATGCTGTCTGTTGCCAGGGCAACCTAGAAGCCCTGTGCATCTGGTCCTCATCTGTGTGCATGACGCCAAGGACCCAAATCATGCAATTGCTCAAGGTAAACCCCGGAAGCACCCTCCCTTCTTTCTCTAATACTATCAGCTGCCCTTGAAGTGACCTTAAGAATCCATAGGGAATTACATTGAATCAATTAATGATCTACTAATTTTGGGACTATTGCTATTGTAACAAGCGATATTGTATTGCTATTGCAGTAATAGTAAGCCTGTCGTTCTATGGCTGTGGGATGTTTTTCTGTTTATGTGGGTTATCTTTAAGTCCTTTAATGATGCTTTTGAGGTTTTCAGTGTTTAAGTCTTACATTACTTTAGTTAAATATGTTTCCAAGGATTTTATTGTTCTTGGTGTTGTTTTAGAGTATGTTTCATGTAAAAACATATATTTATTTTTATCCATTCTACCAATTCCTTCCTCTTGCTGGCAATGTTTATGCCATTTAATGTAATTACTGAGAACGTGGAATTTATGTTTGGCCTTTTGATTATTCCTCCCAGTAATCCTATGGGTCTTTTAGGATTTTCCCATCTGTTCTTCCCTTTGCCTTTCTTTGGTTGTTATTAAATCACTAGTTTCTATTATATCTTCTTAATTCAGTTTGTGTTTCTGATTCTATTATATCTTTTGGAGGTTTTTTTTTTTTTTTTTTGTCGTGGTCACCCTGGAAGTTGGGCCTTGCTGTGGACTGAACCGATTCCCATAAAGGCCAAGCTGAGTGGTCTCAGATGCAAGGCGAATCAGGAATAGTTCATGTTCTGAGAACTGTCTGTTGGTGATTTATTTGTGAATGTCTTGGTAGATTTGTTCTTTTATTTAGTAAACCTTAGTCCCCCTCCCCTGAAATGCTACGCTCTGCAGCTATTTAGTGTAGTGAGACTTTTAATAGCTACATCATGAGCCTTCCCTTCAAGCTGGCAGATAGAAGGGTGACAATGGGCACGGCTCTGGCACCATCGCCTTGCCACCCTCCCCCAGCCTCTGTCCTCTGACTGCCTGTTGCCTTCTCTTGCTTCCCAGGTACCTTGCATCCGGTTGAGTCAGATGCTCCCAAGACTCCCAGTTCCTGGTCCGGAGGGGCCCCTGGTACTGGCGACCTCCCCAGCCCCATGCTTGTGCCCTGTGTGAAGGAAGCATCTTTGAATATACAGAAGCTGAGCAGGACACCAGGCCTGGCCGCAGGACTCTTCCTTTCCCCGCTCCAGACCGCCCACAGGTAATGGAGGGTTTGGAAAGTGGGGCTAGGAACCTTCTGTTGTCTCCTCTCAATGCAGTGACTGTAACCTGGCTTATGAAGATGCTCTGTTCCTCTTCAGCCTCAGCTTTTAAGGTGATTTCTTAGCAGGTCTCTCTGAGTTTGAAGGGCTATCCTCAATAAATTAAGCTACTGGGGAGTTAATGCTGTTTCTTCCTTTTATAAAAATATATCCATTTGGGAAGCCTACAGATGTATCCACACAGGGGTCTACAAGTTTATATGTCTGCTTTTGTGAGTCTACAAATGTGTCTGTGTCTTCATGCATCCATTTGTATACATACATGGATCCATTTGCAGTATTTCCATTAGGAGGACTTGGTAGTATACCTATCCCCTTGTTTCCTTTTATTTCCCCTTCTACTCCCCTCCTTTTTGTCTCCTAGCCTCAGATCTCCTTTCCATCTCCCCAGTCTACTTCCCTTTTCCTGTCATGTGTCTTTTGCTGTTACTTTGGGGTCCTCATATAAGAGGATATAAAATACTGTCTGTGTGTGATTTATTTCACTTAACATGGTCTCAAGATGCAGCTGTTTCCCCCCAAACATATTCCCCCCATCAGACATACTCTTGATGACTGTGTAGTATTCCACTGCTTATCTGTTCCACATTTTCTTTGTCATAGAATAGTGCTTTCCTGTGATTTCCACAAGTCCTCAGCATAAGGATAGCATTGCTAGCCATGTATTGGAGGCAGGACACAGGCTCAGGAGGTTACATCATCTAGGACCCACCTGTTTTTGAGGACATACATATTAAACCCTGTTGTGTGAAATTCTAAGTCAGGACATCTAGGAGCACAGCTGCAGGTGGGCCTGGTATGAGGGAGACTTTGCTGCTGCTGGAGGTGTATGTGGAAGCCAGGTGGGCAGAGGGGCCAGAGACATGGTGCACAACTCACGGCTTGAAGAAGCCTTTGTGTTTCATAGCAAGGCTTGGCTATTGTTGAGAAGAGAAAAAGTAGACCCAGCCTCACAGGAGACTCCAGTTGTTGCTTTAAATGGGGCAGTCAGTTCCTCAGGTAGGATTTAGACTTGAGATCTTCCTGCCTCAGTCTCTCTAGAGTGCTATGTTGAAGTGACAGGTGCGTGACACTATCGCTAGCTCATACAGAGTTAGAGCACAGGAGGAAGGAAGCTGCATTCCCTCTCCAGGGCCCATTCTGGCCTCTGAGGTGGAAAAGACTGCAGGGATGGAGGACCAGGGTAGTGCAGAGGAGACCTGTCCTCCAGGGAACCGGGGAGGGACAAAGTCAGAGTGTCTTGTGGGGGATGGTGCAAAAGGAAATATGGCCGCTTTCTACGTATATTTTGAAGACAGAGCCCATAAGGTACCCGGATAGCCAGGCATGCTTGTACATGTCTATAATCCCAGTACTCTGGGAGGCTGAGGCAAGAGTATAACAAATTCAAGCGTAACTCGAACAACTTGGTGATTTAGCAAGGTTCTGTTTCAAAACAAAAATGAAAAATTCTGGAGGTATAACTCAAGGAAAAGAGCCTGACCTCAGCCCTCAAGACTGAAAAGAAACAAGGAAATAAAAGTAAAAAATAACAAGAAGACACCTGGTTAGAGTGGTTGTGGCTGTGAGAAGTGGGGGAAAGTCTGTCCACAACGCCCAATCCATCTGTCCGTCTGTGTAGTCAGATCCAGGTGTTTGATGATGATTATCCAGGTGGAGACACCATGGAGGACAGTTCTGTCCAAGGTGAGCGAGATGGATGGGATCCCAGGGAGAGGGAAGGTAAGGATCAGGACCAGGAGGACAAGTGGGGAGGACGGGTTAACCAAGGAGACTCAGAGGTGCCTGCAGGGCAGATGAGAAGCACTGGAGGTAGTTAGGGCGACTCTTGCAAAGTTCTGCTGCCAAAGGAGTGCAGTGTGGAGCGGGGTCTGGTGGGTGTGAGGCCAGCCCTGTCTGGCTGGAGACGTCTGCAACTGGGGTGACTACATGGAGGATGGCAGCTGCCAGGGTCACTCCTGAATGTGAGAGAGGTGGGCTGGGATTGGACAGTTGCTGGGGCCCACCTGTGAGGTGCAGGCCGGGACTCTGCTGTCCTTGGGGTTCCTGCTTCCTCTGTGGGGTGCACAGCCTGCATGATGGCAGCTCCACTGCAGGCGAGAGCTGACCCTGGGAGCGGGATGCACGTGGTGGGTCCAAGGCTGAGCAGAGAGGGATGCAGTGTGCAGGAGGCTCCACGGTTCCTTCCCCAGTGGCGCAACTGTAGTGCCTCTTCATTTCTGGACACCAATTCTACACACCCACGTTACTCCCTGACCCTTGCGGTGACCCCAAGGCTTTTCCCTGCCACTGAGTCATGTGGTCAGGAAAGCTGACGCTGGGGCCATTCGAAGCTGTGTCCTACTCCCTTTTCCACTGCTTGGTGACCTTCGATCTCTTTCGACCTTAACCTTGCAGCATGAAGGAAGCCCTCTGTCTTCAGGGTTCCCTGGGTCCGAGACAGGTGCTTGGCTGCTCTGAGGGCAGAGGTCAGAGCCGTGGGAAGCACAGGGCAGGGGCACTTGGAGTCCAGATTCCTTCCAGTGTCTGCCCACGGGGTGTTCCCACCCCCACCCAAGACTTTGTGTTTGGGTGTCCCCACCCCCGCCCAAGACTTTGTGTTTGGGTATCTGACCTGGGCAGATTCCCTGAGCTGTGAGACAGCTCTATAATCACAAAGGGTTCATGTGGAAGAGGCCCGCATGCCAGCTATGGGCATTCCAGAACCAAGAAAAATATGGTTACATGTTTAGGATTGAAGCAGAACAGCTTTCTTTGGCTCTCAACACCCCCCCGTTCATGCTTCCGTGATTGAAAGAGCTGAATCAGAAAGAATGTTTTTGAAATATAATTTTTTTTCCTCCCATCACTGGTTAAATAAAGGAACGTTGGCTTGGCCTTTCACGTGGTTCGGCCTTGGAACAGCTGGGAATCAGAGAACAGCAGCTGTTTGTCCCTGGCTGTGGCAGAGCTGCCTGGGCAGCTCGTCCTGTCCAGTGAAGGTCACTGGAAACCGCTGGCCAGGAATGCGGCGTCCATGTGCGCCGGCGCCCTGGGCTCCCAATGAAGCTGATGTTGGATGTTCTGCTCGAGATATGGTGGCTGCCAGCATGAAGGTTACTTGGTGGGGAGCTCAGATCCAGTTTTCTGTTATGATCATTTCTGGGATGTCCTGGAAGGCTTTGGGCCATTTGCATGAGTGCACCGCTCCTCTAGCCCTGTGTGTGTGTCCTGGGACTCACACACACTTCCCAGGAGCAGGAGACCTTGGAGAAATGTGCAGAAGTGTGGGTCCCTCAAGGGTACGCAGTCATCCTGCAGCTTGAGTCACAGCGTCCACAGTGTCCAGGTACCCTGAGAGCAGGGCTGTGCAAGGAGACCCAGGCCCCAGGCAGTGTCCTGCTTGTCGAGATGTGTTTGCCTTTAAGCAGTGCTAGCAGGCAGGGTCTCTAAACCTGTCTAAGGAGGGCAATAAGAAACAGCTGCCCACTGCCAGGAGGGTGAGTGCCACTTTCATCCAAGACCCTGAGCTTGCTGAAGGCGCAGCAGAGGCTCAGAGACAGAAGCCAGGTGCAGTCTGGGACTCTGAGCTCCCAGCAGCCTCAGGAGTTTGCAGGAGAAGACACACAGGGCTCAGCGCTGCTGCAGGTGGGCTGTGCGGATAGGCTTATGGGATATATAAGAAACTGGAAGGAATGATGACCCAGAAGGACAAATGGGGGACCTTAGCAGAAATAAATGCATTTCTCCTCAATTTCTTTCTTTCTTTCTTTCTTTCTTTCTTTCTTTCTTTCTTTCTTTCTTTCTTTCTTTCTCTCTTTCTCTCTCTCTCTCTCTCTCTCTCTCTCTCTCTCTCTTTCTTTCTTTCTTTCTTTCTTTCTCTTTTTCTCTCTTTCTTTCTTTCTTTCTTTCTCTCCTTGCCTCTCTCTGTCTCTGTTTCTGTCTTGGTACCAGGGAATAAATGCATGACCTCATGCTTGCCACTTTTTTGTTTTTGTTGTTGTTGTTGTTGTTGTTGAGACAGGGTCTTCCTGTGTAGTCCAGGCTCGCCTTGAATTCACTGTGTAACCTAGGATGGCCGCAAACTTGCAGCAATCCTCCTGCCTCAGCCTCCTGAGTCTGGGATACAGGCATGCACTACCATATCTGACCAGTTTTGTTCTTGGAGTTCTCCAAAGGCTAACAGGAAATTGCCCTAGAGATGCGCACACATTTACCAAAGAGATGACAGGCAGCCCTTGCCACTTCATAAATAATTTCTAATTTTAGCTACATTTAGCATCACTTTAGTAAATATTAATGAGGAAACCATTAGTGTTTTGCTCTGGTAATTTGTTATCAAGTGCATAACATGATTGTGTTACCTCACTGTTATTTTTATCCTGATTTTAGTGTGTGGTTTGTGTTCTAGCACATGAATATTACAGTGTTTCAAAAAGCACGCCTCTATAAGATAGAATATATGCACATATATAAAAACTTTTATTTGAATTTTAAAAAAAGATACAAACTTTACTGGTAGAGAGTAGCTATGCTTGGTCTATTTGGTTTGATTGAAAATGTCTTTTACTGCTTAGGTTATTGGAATTACCTAGATCTGCAAATAAGATTGACAAACATGAAACTGAAGCATTTTTATAATAAAATCACATGTTAAGATTTTCGTTTCCAAGCTCTTCCTGAGTATATTGACTTAAACAAGGTCCTTCTAAGGGAACAAGTAATGAGTATAATTAAGTTATTTATAAACTCTTCCTACAGCTTTTTGGTGTGTTTCCCAGAAATTAAGCCTTGAATGAATAATGTCTTGGTATTAAATTCTTGTGTATCTCTGATGGTTTCCAAAGGTTTTCTTTTGCGGAGAAATGTGCAGATTAGATTGTCAGCTGGTGACTAAAATTAGTTTCTCGTTTGCTCTTCTGGGATTTTGAGCTTATACACGGAAAAACTTCAGAGTTGA